CCTCCTCCATCAGTCTCAATAATCGATCCTGCTGCGATGTTACTTTTGACAGTTCACCTGACATAAAGTTCAGAGATCGTTTGATCTCCTCCAGGTCTTCTGTGGCCATTTCTTTACCTCGTCCACCGGCTCGTCCTCCTGGCATCTCTTCCTCTCACCTGCAACCGTCGTCCTCTGGTTCCGTGCTCACCGCGACGCGATGAATGTTGTTGGGCCTGGCTCAGCAGGACCCCGCCGGAGTCGGTGTTGCCCCGTCGGCGGAACTGGGCTGGGCCGATGGAACCGCGTCAGGCCCGGTACCGCTGGGCCGGGCCGGTAGAACCACGTCAGGCTCGGTGCGCTGGGCTGGGCCGGCGTAACCATGCTGGGTTCGGCGCTGCCGGGCCAGGCGAATCGAACCACGCCGGGCACGGTGCCACTGGGTAAGGCCGGTAGAACCACGTCAAGCTCGGTGCCGCTGGGCTGGGCCGGCGTTACCACGCCGGGTATGGCGCTGCTGTGCCAGGCGGATGGAACCACGCCAGGCCAGGTGCCACTGGGTCGGGCCGGTAGAACCACGTCAAGCTCGGAGCCGCTGGGCTGGGCCGGGTTCGGCGCTGCCGGGCCCGGTTTGCCAGGTCGGGCCGATGAGACAACAAAAGCACTCCCACTGTTTACAATCTCCGACTTGTTGCTTCCTTTACAATTCAGCTTGTTTGGATTCCTCTAGGCTCCCAATAAAATTTAACTGAATAAATAAAAACGACATGTAAACTACAGCCATGGCTATTATGAGGTCAATGCTATAGCCCAAAAAGATGCTCAATAGGAGTGAGGTCAGGGATCATAGGAGGCCACTTTAGAATAGTCAAAAGTTTTCCTTTTGGCCATTCTTGGGTGTTTTTAGCTGTGTTTTGGGTCATTGTCCTGTTGCAGGACCCATGACTTGTAACGGAGACCACTGGCCAGCATATTTCTTTCTAGAATCCCTTGGTAGTCTTGAGATTTCATTGAACCCTGCACAGATTCAAGACACCCTGTGCCAGATGCAGCAAAGCAGACCCAGAATATAGCAGAGCCTCCTCTGTTTCACCGTGGAGACAGTGTTCTTTACTTGATAGGCTTCAATTTCCATCTGTCAACATAGAGCTGATGTGCCTTGGCAAAAGGCCCATTTTTGTCTCATCTGTCCGTAAGAAAATCTCCTAAAAGCTTTGTGGCTTGTCAGCATGTTTAGCACATTCCACTCTGGCTTTTTATGATTTGTTTTCAACAATATTGTCCTTCGTAGTCATCTCCCACTTAGGCTTCAGCAACAAGTGGCACAACCTGACACTGATGCTCCTTGAGCTTGAAGTGCACCTTGGATCGCTTAAGAAGTTTTTCTTTGATTCAACATCGATTTTCCTCCTGTGGCCACATCCTGGGAGGATGGCAACAGTCCCATGAATCTTAACTTTCTGAATAATATGTAGTCACAGGAACATCTAGTTGCTTTGAGAGGATCTTATAGCCTTTACCTTTAACATGCTTGTATATAATTATCTATTTCCTGAGAAAACTCTTTCCTTCGCCTCCTCTGGTCCACATTGAGCATAGTATACAATACATTTCACCAAACAACACACTGGATACCTGGAGCCCTATATATAGGCCCACTGACTGATTACTAAACTGTAGACACCTGTGATGCTAATTAGTGGGCACATCTTGAATTAACAAATCCCTTTGTTCACATTTTATTCAGTCATTTTTGTCCAGGCCTGTTTCATGAGGTTTTTTTTTAATGGTTCTGTTGAATCATGGCTGAAAAGCAATGTCTGACTTTCATTGGTGAAATGTTACAGAATTTGTATTTATTATTACTTATGTCAGATTCAATTATTTCTGTGAATATAGCGGGGTTTACTTTCATTGACCGAAGGGTACCAACAATTTTGTCCATGTCTATATATATATATATATATATATATATATATATATATATATATATATATATATATATATATGTATATGAGAAAACGTTTTCGCTACAACTTTAACAGTTTGTAGTGAATGTTTTTCTTATTGCAGTGTCACAAATCACAAAAGGGTGACAGTTGTCAATCAGTTGTAGAAAAAAAAACTAAATAAAACAAACTTTACCTTTAGAGATTGTCTTAATTCTATTAAATTTTTTATTAATTTGACTCCTTCATTACAGGTTCCTCAATTACTTGTTTTAATGTCATTAAATTACCAAAAGAGGGTGATAGTTATTCAACAGCTGCAGAAATCAAAGACTGAACTTTAGTTCCCCTTAAATGAGCTGATTCAGATCAGTCTCTTTCAAACGTATTCTACCTTGATTACAAATGGCTTTATTTTTCTGGTAAAATTCTTTTAATGTACCTGGTGTTATAACAGATCATTTAATTGGTCTACAGAAATGTATATTTATATTAGTGCAACATCTTAAAATCACAACATGAAAAAAATGTTTTCATTGTTTCCATTTGCCAGACAGGTTCTTTTTCATTATTTGTAAAGTAAGTAAAGTTTTTTTATCTCGTATATATTTGTTTATTTATTTAATACTTTGCACTCTTTTCACCCTTTTCAATCCATCTAGCTCGTGATCGAACATATGCTCCATTTGTCTTTTTTATAAACAGGTCATCTAATTGGGATTGCAGGGACTTTAATTTAGTAACATTATCTGAGGATAGTTGTGTACTACTTGTTATTGAATGAATTTCATCAATTAGATCTTGTTGTTTTCTTTTTCTTAAACTTGCCAATTTTTTTCCTTTGTCTATTGCTATTTGTTTGGCTTTAAACTTGAACCATATCCAGCTTTTTAACCTCCGATATAAGAGATTTAATCTGATTACAAAAATCATCATTTTGTAGTAGATCATTATTGAACTTCCATATATGGGAAGACTTAAATTGTTGCTTAGATGTTCTAATATCAAGACTGATCATGCAATGGTCCGTTAGCGGGGAGGCTGTTATTTTACAATCTGAAATGCCATTGCATATCTCATGTGATATCAGCCAGTAATCTAATCTTGAACACTGACCATTTCCTGCCAAATTATACCAAGTATACTGAACTGATGTTGGATTTTGTGTTCTCCAATAATCAATAATATGTGTTTTTGTGCATAAGGATAGTATAGTGTCACTATAAATAGGTTGGGAATTTTTATGAGGCATCCGGTCTAACCACAAATCTGGGGCTATATTATGGTCCCCTCCCAATATCACGTTCTCTGTATTAAACGTTACTTTCCATTCATTCATTTTTTGGCTTAGTTTTGAATAGAAGTTTTCATTAATTTCTTGGTTGTTAAAAACCATACACACACGTCAAAATATAACTTTTATCATTCCACTCCACTAACACCATTAACCAGTGGCCTTCAATGTCTCCTTTGTGATCAATTGTGTTGCCTGAAAATCTATTGAATAAAATCATGACTCCTGCTGAGTGTGATGTTCCATGTGCAAGTATAAATTTTTCAACCGCTGCAACAGAATGAGTCTCTTGTAAAAAGATACATTGTGATTTTTGATCCTTACAAAATAAAAAAATAGCTTTTCGCGTTGTACTGTTGTTCAAATCCCTGACATTTAAGGATATAAAAGAAATTATGGTTGTTCTAAATGCGCTTAACTGTGTTTCTTCTTCTTTGCAGGAATGAACATGTTGTCCTTAATAACATCATTACAAAAATGTCGAATAAACGTAAGAACCGCAGCAAACAACTGAACTGAACTTGGATTCTTACTTGCCCTTTTTAGCATTTGAATCGTACAAATTTTCACCCAATAGGATTTGTTTAAGCCTAACTGCTTACATGAAAAATCTGTGTGTAGCCTTAAGTACACTTAAATATATAATATTGTGTTATTCACTTTAGCTCAGTATAAGCAAAGGAGACCCATGTTTTTGATTACTAAACTATACTTAGGGGTCAACTCTGCGTCCATCAACTGGGCCATTCCCATCTGTACCGGGTCAGCCCGGGCCGGGTAGCCCCAGTCGGCCCCAGCCTGGCCCGGTTGATTCCACACATCCTTGTCTTAAGCCCATGTGGGCTGATTCTACCCACCAATCAGAGGCTTGCTCTAATGGAAGGTGTGAATTTGCTGTCAGCAGTGGGTGTGCTGGCCCTGGTCGGCCTGAAGCAGACCCCCTCGAGAAGAGGGCTGAGAATGAGCCTTGGTTGGCCCGGAAAAATACCAGGCCACCCAGATATGTAAACAACCTACGCTACCCGGCCCGGGCCGACCCGGTACAGATGGGAATGGCCCAAATGAGTGCATAACCTTCTCTTAAGGAGGCTTTCTTCCCATTTCTCCTGGCTTCTTGCACCTTGGGCCAAAGCTTAGCACGAGCTTCATGATCCTCCTTTGAGAAGTCCTGCTTAAACTTGATGTTCATCTCACTGCACACTCTTGCCTCTCTGGATCTCCTCCAAACTTCATCACGAACAGTTCGCAAGGCAAACTGGATGATTATAGGTCTGGGCATCTTGTTGGTGGCTGCATGGTATTCCTTCCCTAAGCGATGGACTGTGTCTACTGAGTCCTGTAGTTTTTCCACTGACACCGGGATTACTCTAGTGAGGATGCCTATCACAGCTCCTCTTGTATCCTCTTTGTCTTTTTCATTGAGGCCCATCAGTCGAAGATCCCATCTTCTCTTGTGCCGGGCTTGCTCCAAGCACAGCTGCTTCAGTGACGCATTTTCATTTTTCATCAGCACCATTTCTTCCTTCGTTTTGCATATTTCTTCTTTAGTCTCTCTCACTGCTTGTGTGTTAGCTTCTATTCTACTTTCAAATGCTTTCAGTCTGCCATCTTGTTCATCAAATCTCTTTATCAGTAGTTGAATCGCATTTAGAATGCTTTCGTTGGTAATCTCACCTTGCTCGCTCGACTCATCTTGCTTCTTTTGTTTGTTTTTTGGGGTTTGGGCTGGGGAGTGGTGAGTGAATATGAAGCAAGTTCCTGTTTTCTTTCTCCATTGCCTCTATTTCTTCAATTTCTTCTTCTTCACATGCTTCTTGTTAGGTTGTAGTCGTGGTCTGTTATCTTTTGAGCCTTAACCGTTATGCTACCTTTAGCCATCTTGCTCATGTTGTCGAAGGGAAAAAGCAAAAACCAAAGAGTAATGGTGGTCAGCCTTGAGGAAAATAACGTTCCGTGGGGCTCAGGGGTTGTTTATGCAGTTCTTTTTATCTTCTTGTTGTTTTTTACGGTTTAAAGTCAAGGACAATTCCGTTTTCAATACCAGAGCCTGCAAAAGTGCTACCGCTCACTCCGCCATCTTAACTCCTCCTCCTGTCCAGTTAGAGGCCATAAAGACTTTCAATTTGTTTACCCGCTTGTTGGTGTTTGTTCCCCCTCAAAAGAACAGTAAACATCACATCCTACACGGAATTCCCGTCTTTTTTTTTCTTCCGTCAGGAAACACAAGCTGACTGGAACTAAAAGCAAGACTGTGGAAAAGGAAAAAGCAAAATTAAAGATCCAATAGAATATTTAAATATAAAATGTCAGGATTTAAAGAAAAACTGCTTAAAAGTAAAAGATTTGTTGACCAAATGTATAGGCTTTGTGCTTTTCACTGTTGATAGAATAGAAAAGTAGAATAGATTAATTAATTTTCCTTTGGTGTGGAACAAAGCAGACTGAAGAGTCTGTACTGTACTGAGTTAATTGAATTCACGTATAAAAATAAATAATGTATAAAATACTGTAGCAGAAGATTGTCAGGGACTGAAAGGAAAACAGTACAGTGGTGATAGGAATGAATGTAAGTATAACTAAAGAAAACGTGCAAATCACAAAAAGCAGCAGCAATAACAGTTGACTGTTTTTGAAGCAGTGGTGGTTATAAAATCTCACAGCTGCTGGTAGGAAGGACCTATGATCCTAAAAAAAAATTAAAAACATAATTTTAAACACAGTCTTTTATTGTACAACAACAGTGAAATGCAGGTGGGGCAGCAGCAAGTTAGAGATAAATGTGAGCATGCATATTCACACAAAGATAAATCAATAAATAAATACAGAAACATATTATATAAAAAACTAATAATAAATCTGCCCATAAAGCAATAGAAAAAACAAAACAAAAACAATTATTTTAAACTATTTTCTTCTTCAATATTTTAAACACCAACCTCCTCATAAATCAACACCTCTTCGTACTGAAATCACTAACGGAATCTGCAATATTTAATCATCAGAAAATAAAGTTGGTTCCAATTTTTGATTCCTGATTAAGAATGGGCATTTCCAACTACTTTTTCCTCTCTTTAAACTACTTTCACCTTCTCTTATTATAAAACTACAAAACCCAGACTCTTCAAACCTGGATGAGACTATTCTATACCAACAGAGCTCGAAAAAATAGTTTGTAGTTTGGGTATTATAGTGACCTCTGACATTTACATATTATACATATATTGATCTCACTCAATTGTTGTGCTGAAAGTTAGGAATCTTTAAAATCCTGTCCTAGTAAGAATATTTTATAATATGTTGGAATAATTTTAAAAATTCATCAATGTTATTTTTGTAAAATGGAAACCATTTTGTACCATGAGGTTGACAGTTCTTCTGCTCAAAAAAATAGAAAAACATATTAACTGAGAAAATTATTAGGGATCATCCTATGTTATTATGAAATATCATGAGACTAATTTGCAGAACACCAAACATGAAAAGATCAGAAAATATTCCAAAATATCTTCCTTAAGTGGTTATCATTATGTGTTGATGAGTGCCTCTGCTCTGATGAGTGGGTTGTGTGATTAAACGTTTAGTTTGAAAGAGCTGGAGTTACAGCTTTATCCCAGCTGTTTCATGGCCTACTTTAATAAACAACTGTTAAGAGCAAAATGTCATTCTATCTCCATTTTAGTGCTGTAGGAATGTACAGTATTACGAAATTATCTAATCAAGTGTTTGTACTACAATGTCCTTAAAAACTTCCACTGCACAGATCACTTAAAGATTTGTTGCAGAGACACGATCTCTGATGGATCACTGGATTTAAAAAAATATGTCACTGACTCCTTGCAATTTGTGAACAATCAGTGGTTTGTGATTTTTCAGAAGTTTTTTTTAATGATAACAATTTTGCAAGTTTAGGGGGCAAAGTATGTTGGTCAAAATGTCCCACCTAAAACCGTCATTAGTGCTCTGTCTTCAGGTTAAACTCTTACTCTGATTGTAAATCAGCCATTGCTGTTGGCTAAGAGTTGCCGATACCATATTACGTGACTGAACTGGACTGGACTGCAGCAGAGTCTGGGCCACGCCTCCAGTTGGCTTTGCAACTCACAAGTCGATACGAAACAATACGGCTCAGAGCTGTGTCTTCTTCCCTGTCTTCTAGTGACCGAGGTGGAGGGAGAACCCTACAGCTGTCTGCAGTTTCAGCGATCACTCGGGTCTGTGCACATGCGGGTGTGCTATTGTTAACAGAGCACACGCAGGGGGGCTTAGCGGGGGGTTCTGTCAGTCACTGACTACGTTTACATGCAGCCAATATCCGGGTATCGGGTTAAGGTCGGCATTTGGGTTTCTGAGTTGATCAGAATAACCCGTTTACAAGCATAAATAGAAAGAGTTACCTCTAACTTGCATAACCCGATGTAAATGCGGACGTTGTGGTAGCGTCTAAACGTATGGACTACGTCCAGACGCAATATGCGTCATTTCCGGTTCTTCTCGTTCCAGTATCCATGAAAACAACAACATGTTTCCCAGTTCGGAAGAGATAGCGACCGCGTTTGTTTGCGCTTTAGTTTCCTCGTCACTCCAAAAGTGTGGTGCTGTGCCGCGACTCGCCATGTTGCTCCCAACTTGTTGTTTACTTCCGGTGTTCTGGCGCATACAAGACGTCTCGCTACTCAAAAGACCAAGATTCCTTGCGAACAGAGCATGCGCAGAACACACGCTTTGATGGGGATATCCCGATATGCGTTTACACGACCAAACATTCGGGTTATAAAAGGGTTACCCCCAGGTGTAGTAACCGGGTTTTTAAAAACCCGGTTATGAGCATATCCAGGTTTCTGGCGGTGTTTACACGGACCTGCGGAACCGGGTTATTGTGAATATTCGGGTTTTAAAAGGGTTACTGGCTGCATGTAAACGCACTGAATGTCTCTCTCGATCTACAAGGCAGTGCCTCCTTTAGGCGCATTTTTAAAACAGGAATTATGGGTAAACTACGACTCCACCCAGGAAGTGACCAACCATTTAAAATAGCTAACATCAGCAATGTCCGAAGTGTTTTCACAAACACTGCTATAAGAATTGCAGAACTGTTATGTCTTTTAAATGAGTAAGGCTGTCTACCTTATTCTCCCATGAGTCCTAGCGTGAAACATGTCACCCACTTCCAGCCTCATGGTGTGGACCTCATGTCACTGGGCCCCCTTTGAACCAACTGTAATCACTGACCTGGGTGGGTCATTTTTATACACCATAGGAGATGGCACTACTCCACTGGACTTACTCTGTCAGTGCCTAGAGCAAGTAAACAACTGGATGCAGTCAAACTTCCTTCATCTAAACAAAGACAACACTGAAGTTATTGTCTTTGGCAACAAGAAGAATAGAATGGATGTTGTTGCTCAGCTAGACTCCAGGGGAATAAAGACAAAGACCCACATTAGAAATCTTGGTGTAATTATTGACTCAGACCTGAGTTTCTCTGGACATATTAAGGCTATAACTAAATCAGCGTTTTATCACCTTCAAATATCAAGACTCAGAGAACTCATGTCCAGACCAGACTTATTCATGCTTTTATTTCTAGTCAGCTAGACTATTGCAATGGTCTGCTGACTGGTCTTCCCAAAAAAGCTGTGAAGCAACTGAAGCTTGTTCAGAATGCTGCTGCTTGAGTCTTAACAAGAACTTAGAGAACGGAGCACATCATTCCTGTTCTTAGATCCCTACACTGGTTCCCAGAAAAACTACAGAATAGATTTCAAAGTGCTCCTACTAGTTTATAAATCACTCAATAGCATGGGACCAAAATACATGTCCGCTCTCATTCCTGTATACACACCCAATAGGGCTCTGAGATCCCATGGAAACAATCAGCTGGTAGAACCTCGGGTCAGAACAAAACATGGTGGAGACGCTTTTAGCTACTATGCTGCTCACATATGGAATCAGCTTCCCCATGACCTCAGATCTGCCCCAACCCGAGTGTTTAAAACAAAACTAAAAACCCTAACGTACTCATCAATCGTTTCTTATCATGCGTCGTCTCCACAGTAATCTGCGCTGTAACTTTGTCTTCTCCTTTAGCTCTAAACTGTAATTCCGTCTATGTGTATTTTAATTTGTGCTTTTATGTGTTTTCATATCATGTCCTGATAATTGTAAAGGACATTGAATTGCCTCTGTGTTTGAAATGTGCTCTACAAATAAAGCTGCCTTGCCTTGCCTATAAATAAATAAATGGAGTGAAATACAGCCATGCCACTGCCATCCTTAGGAGGATCATTTTTACAATAGGTTTAATGATGATCAACATATTTGATAATATATAATGTTAAACATTGAGCTCTATTTTAAGAACTTGTCTGCTTGTTAAAAGCATAAATAAATGAAATTATTTTTGGGGTCTAAAGTCTATGTAGATATTTTAGAATTATTTTTAGTTCAGGTTGAGAATGCAGTGAAAGAATAACTGGGTCCTCATGAATTGATATATAGCAAAAGTGGAGTGCATATTCCAAACATCGCTCTTGAAGCCACAAACTTAACTTTCTCTGGTTGTTAATACAACTGCAAACAGTGCAACATGTTCCCGAGCCACGCGAGTACATTTTTGGGAGGCAAATAATATTTAAAATCCTCTTGAAATATTCAAATAAAACTGCTGCAAGAAACAAAACCTCACACTGGAAGCCAGTGATTATGCACTATTTCCGGTATCTCACCGGACGTTGATCGTTTTCTACATGAGCCAGCAAGGAATAAGGTGGATGGCAAAACTATGTTATGTAAACACTCTCAGTATATGTTAAAATCCCAACACTTCAAACTCAACTAATAAGAAAACATGATGAGTCTTTGGAAACAACTGAAATTAATCAAATCTGCTAAAGTCCTTTGACCCATGCTGTCAAATGGTAAATCCGTCTCCAACTGTTTATTAAAACCACTCAACCCTCTACACGTGTTACCTAGAGAACATCTAGATAAACCTCCAACTGCTGTGAGATGCTGATGCTGCAGCGTGTAAACAATTTTTGGCATGCTGTCTCTGTGACTGTGATTGGTCAAATGACGATGCGTTACACACTACAACAAAGATCGTTTTGAACAAGACTGATTACCCAAGCCTAGAAATCTAGACAGATAGTATCAGAAACAAAATGATTTTGCTCTGCATGTCGGTCTAGCCACGCTCCACTGGAACCTCCACAGCCATGGGGCCTCATTTATCAAGCTTGCTTACGCACAAAACGGGGTTGGAAAACTGCGTAAGAAACTTTCCACGCAAACTTTGAGATTTATGAAATAAAACTTAGTGGAAAAATGTGCGCAACTTTAAGTTGACTAAGGACCTGGCTTACGCACATGTTGGACATGGAGAGCACCTGCAGTGCTGCTGCTGAGAAGGATACAATTATGAAATCCTCCAGCATTATCACTTGTACCGTTTTGTTTTCATACAGAACAAGACCCCCACACGCACGCACACACACATGCACGCACACTCACACACACACGTGCACGTGCACACACACACAGAGCCTGAAGCGCAAAATACGGAATGCAGAATATCAGCAGGGGGACAGATTTGAGACAGAATGTCATGCATCTGTGACAGTGTGTGTCCTGTCACTGTGACCCGATTGATCATGCACCCTGGCTAGTTGAAAAGGGGAGATCTTCATTTAGCTGACTGGTTAGTGCGCGTAACTTTCACTCGGGAGTCTGGGGATTGAATCCCAATTGAACCATTTCTTTTTATATATCCGCCACAGATCTCTCTGAAGAATTCACAACATTGACGGCTTCAGCACCGCTGTGCCACTCTGTGGATTTTCTCTTACTTGTTTTGCAAAAGCACTTCCTTTCATTTCTCCACCTCACCCACCGGTACCTCAATTTCTGCTTCTGTGAAATTGTGCTTCCTTGATCTGCCTTGATCTACGGTCGCCATGTCATTGGAGGAGCGCTGCAACAGCCAGCTTATGTATATGCATGAGATCCACAAGGCACTTTGCATTGACTATTTATGGCAGTAAGTGGGCGTGGTGAGGGCGGGATGTGACTAAAATGCAGCTGAGAAACAGTCTCGTTAGTCTCTGATTTATGAAGCGGAGATTGCGTGCAGCTTTGCGTACTCCATGTTTGATAGATCACAATCCTACTTGGCGTAAGTACATTTCTTTTGCTGAGCTTAAGTACGGTTTTAGTAATGATTCTACGCAATGTTTGATAAATGACACCCCTGACCAGTCTGGTGGAATGCCAATCACAGTGCTCTATCAGTTTTATGGGCCAATCACAGTGCTCTATCAGTTTTATGGGCCAATCACAGTGCTCTATCAGTTTTATGGGCCAATCACAGTGCTCTATCAGTTTTATGGGCCAATCACAGTGCTCTATCAGTTGTATGGGCCAATCACAGTGCTCTATCAGTTTGGTGGGAGGAATGTTACTACGACTGAGAAAAACTAAGATGGCAACAGCTCATTTAAAACAGCTTTGGCACCTAGTATGGACAATTTAGACTTGAGCTTTTCTTTGAGTCAAGAGCAGATAGAAAAACTTAAGTTCTTTATTTGGAAAAAGAATGTATTTGTGTCTTTGACAGTGTATGGTGGACTGTCCCGTTGACTGACATCTGTAAACGGTGAGTAGGTCATGTTGTTTGTTGTCCATTAGCATGCAAAGACAGTTTGGAAGACAACCGTAGATCCAACCCCACAACTGAGATCCGTCAACGGGTCGTGGCAAAACTACATATTCACATATATAGTTAAACTGAAAATAAAGATATCAAGTAGAAAATATATTTAGAATATTCATAACAACTGCACTAGTTGGAATTTAGCATCTCACTTCATTAGGTGCTTCCATCCTTCATTGTTGACCTGAATAAACATCATGCCCACAACTTAAATTAACACCATATAGTTTGGTATAAGCCATGTTTTATGAACCCTAACCCAGAGCAGTTGTCAACAGATAAATGTTTGTCACAATTAAGAGTTTTTTTTTAGGTTTTATACTGTAAATAAATAGCAGATTGCTTTTGGTTTACAAATACATTTTCCTAAGCAGTATCTCTGTAAAGCAGTAATAAATATCTTATGGAGTTCAAAACATGTGTTTGTGTGATTTATACATGTTAATACAGATGTGAAATGCACGTAAAATAATCGTGGCAATTGTGAAACCGTGGTTATTAGGACTGAAACAAATTATTGAATGGTTTGATTCCTTGTATCTGCAGGTTTAAGGGAGCCACATTTAAGACTTTTTAAGACCTTTTTTAAGGCCACTTTGAAAAAATTTAAGCTATTTTTTTTAATTACATTTGAGCTATAATTTCCAGCTATTGCCTGAAACCGGTGCTAACCGCGTCACGAACGTGGGATTAGCCATCCAGTTACAAATAAACTTGCACAAACTCCTAGCTTAACCAGCTAATGTGCTAATCTAAAAATAGCCCCCTTTCACAACCAACTGAATGTGTACGGTTCCGCTTACGCCAATATCGTACACAAAAAATGCTGAACACTAACTAGAAAGTCACGAACATTTTGTAGAAATAAAAGAATCTTGTTTATTTGGGTCTTTGGTCATTTAAGACCTTTGGAAACTGGATTTAAGGATTATTTGTCATTTTTAAGGATTTTTAGGGCCTTAAATTTGGAAAAGCAAATTTAAGACTTTTTAAGGACCCGCGGATACCCTGTTAAATTATTCTAATCTTTTTTTACAGATTTGAGGCTTTGTTAAATGTGCGCACCAGTCTGAACACGTTTACTGGAGCACTAACCTCTGTGCTGTGGAGGAAAATAGACACAAACCATTGTAAAAAGCAGAAACAGTCCAAGGTTTGGGATCACGAGTGAAACAATGAGCAAATTGGCTAATGCTAGTGGCTAGTATGCTCACGATCACATGGGGTTCCGGAAAAAAACCCACAATGGTTGTGAAAAACTAAATGCTACAGGTGGGAGAAAAATCCCCACCATTGTGTTTATTTGCAGCGGTCTGCAGCAGATTGTGGCAGAGCCACAGCAGGCACCTGGAATCAGGTTGTTGCTGCGAGTCTGCTCCTTAATGCTACGGCAACCCGTTGTATGTGATTAACAACCCCTTCTATCATTGAATATAATTTAGAATGTATTATTACCAACCCATACATAATACAATAGATATGCACATTTACACTTTCATCAGTAGTAATTAAATGTTATTAGCATTTTCGAGTATAGCTAAACATATTAATGAAATATAATAAATTCTACTGATCATGTGTGTCTACATAGTAGCCCTCCAGAACCAGGATTGGGCACCACCGATCTCTGACTGCCATCAGAGGTGCAGGACTGAAAACTAGGATGTGAAAATTAAAATGGTATCATTAGGGAGCCTTGTAATTAAATCAGGGCTTTGCTGTGTGGACTTGTGTATGTGCATTTAAACTTATCTTGTGCCTGAATCTCTCTCCACAAACATCACACACAAAAGGTTTCTGTCCTGTGTGGACTCTCATGTGAGTGTTTAAATTAGCCTTTTGGCTAAATCCTTTTCCACAAACATCACATGTAAAAGGTTTATGTCCCGTGTGGACACTTAGGTGTCTGTTCAAATGTGCATTGAGGCTAAATTTTTGTCCACAGATCTTACATTCAAAGGGCTTCTGTCCTGTGTGGACTCTCATGTGAATTTTTAATATTTTCTTTTGGCCAAAACTGTTTCCACAAACATCACAGGCAAAGGGTTTTTGTCCTGTGTGGACTCTCAAGTGATAGTTTAAACTTGTTTTTTGGCTAAATCTTTGTCCACAGAGTTCACAAGCAAAAGGTTTCTGTCCTGTGTGGACTCTCATGTGACCATTTAAATGTGTCTTTTGTCTAAACTTTTGTCCACATACATCACAAATAAAAGGCTTTTGTCCTGTGTGGACTCTCGTGTGTCGGTTTAAACTAGACTTTTCACTAAATGTTTGTCCACAAACATCACAAGTAAACGGCTTCTGTCCTGTGTGGACTCTTATGTGATTGTTATAATTTGATTTATGGTTAAAAGTTTTTCCACAAAAATCACAACTAAACAATTTTTCTTCTGTCTGGACTGCCATGCATGCGTCTACATTTTGCTTCATGCCATCACCTTTCTTATTGCTCCAACAGCTTGAAGAGCTTATTGCTGTAAGACTTGTAACTTTCACGTGTTTCTGGGGAAGACACTTGCGGAGAACGGGTTTACCACACTCAGGGCAGCTTAAAGGTTTGTCCACAGCCTTAACATCTGACTCAGCAGACCTGTTCTCATTCCATTCTTTATTACCATGTTCAGTTTCTGGGTCAGAGTCTGACAAGGGTTTCAAGTGACAGTCACAACTGTTCGCAAATTGGTCATCTTCATTCTCACTGATTTCAGTCTCTGAAGAGTTGGAATTATCTTCATAAGGATTTAGATCTGGATTCCTGTCACTTTCTGTTCCTCCACAGTCCTCTCCGTCACTTACTGTTTTCATGTAGTCAGGACAGCTGCTGGTTGGAAGATCTCTGTCTGTAGCCTGGTGCTGATTGAACAACAGAACCTTATCTTCATCCTCCTGAAACTGACAAAAACCTGCAGTGGGTGAAACGCTGGTGTCATAAGTCTCCATCATCTCATATTCATTAAATGGCTCCTCCACTTCCTCCTTCACGTTGAGGGTCTCCAGGTCCATCTGGCTCACACCAGGCCTCCGTTCTTCAGAAGCCTCTTCTTTAATCAACACCATCTGCTGAACATCTACAGGGAAGACTGAAACCCAAAAACATTAGAGACTAAGTTAAATGTATACTTACACCAACCAGAATCTTCTTTATAAAATAAATTACTAAGTAAATTTTGTATCAATCTATTTTTCTCCCCTTATCTGGGGTCAGGTTGTCAGGGCAGCGGCCTAAGCAGAGGCCCAGACTTCCCTCTCCCCAGCCATTTGGGTCAGCTACTCCAGGGCAACCCTGAAGCCTAGTTTATGTTTCTGCATCAGCTCCACCAGGGAGAGACGCGCATGCATTGACATAGACGTTTTGCTCTTGGCCTTCTCCGTATCCTGGGTAGTGTTGCAAAGCAATTCCCCACCAGGACAACAGAGGGAGTGGCGCTGTTCTGGGGCATCCTGTCTTGTATTCGGTCCATGATTTTTTTTTGTTTATACTGTGTTTTTTATATTTCAGAGACGTTTCAACACAGACAAATTTGTCACTCTTTCCGTCCCTCTTTTGCGTCCAGGAGGCAACCTAACCTGATATCCAAGCCACCTCAACTGGCTCCTCATGATATGAAGGATTAGCAGATCTACTCCGAGTACGTCTCAGATGACTGAGCTCGTCACCCTATAGACACATCATATCTGCAACCACTATCCAAAGCTTGTGACCACAGATGAGGTTTGGAACGCAGATCAATTGGTAAATTGAGAGCCTCGCCTTCCGACCGAGCCGTCTTCACTATGACAGATGCTATTTATTACATGTGAAAACTCTCTCAGGATGTAATAAGGCCGGAGTCCAACAGACTTAATAATGTTGTCCACCAGAGAGAAAGGGTTCTCCACTGAGGTTAGTTGACCAGTCTTCTGATGGTGAAGCTGCATTGGATGTGTCTGACTGTTGCTTCAAGTGTGTCTTTTTTCCACATTTTGACGACTATGCCCCGCAGGTTTACATCACTTTCACAGAGAGAGTAAAGGTTTGTTTTGCATTTTTGTCCCTGCATGCATGCGTAATATGTGTGTGTGTGTGTGTGTGGAGGGGGGGGGGGGGGGGTATGTCACACAGGGTCTCTGCTGTATGAGTATGAGTGACTGATATGATCGGCTCTGAAGGACATTGATCGAAATTTGCGGAAATTGACCAATTTTGATCGGTTGCCAATCAATCTCTACATAAAATTTGACCAGACTTCTTGACAAAGCATTCCTTTAAACATGTAGTTCCCAACCTGGGGTCAACAACCTGGTGCTAAACACCCAGAAGACAGAGGAGGTTGTTGTGGACTTTAGGCAACCCCGGCACGATGGTGGACTCATGTCGCTTCCTGGGCACCATCATCACCCAGGACCTCAAATGGGAGCCCACCATCACCACCATCAGAAAAAAGGCCCAGCAGAGGACGTACTTCCTGAGGCAGCTGAAGAAATTCAAACTATCACCACAGTCATTGAGGCAGTTCTACACCGCTATCATCGAGTCCACCCTCACCTTCTCCATCACCGTGTGGTACGCTGGAGCTACCACCAGGGACAAGAAGAGGCTGCAGCGTGTCGTGCGCTCTGCAGAGAAGGTCATTGGCTGCAAACTCCCCTCCATTCAGGATCTGTACACCTCTAGGACATTGAGGCGTGCAGGTCGGATAATAGCTGACTCGTGTCACCCTGGACACAGTCTCTTCAACTCGCTCCCATCTGGCAGAAGGCTCAGATCCATTCGGACCAGAACCTCTCACCACAAAAACAGTTTCTTCCCCTCTGTAGTTGGACTTTTGAATGAAAATCCTAGGGCAGCCCACTCAAGTTGATTGGCCCCAGTCACGTGACCCGATGCTGTGCTTGAAACATTCAGCAAACACTCAGATTAGTACCTACACGGGGTAGATAGCTGCTTCTCTAATTCCTGCCACTTTTTACATGAATCAAGAGTGTTTTATTACTTCCTATATTTGCTTATCTCTTAATGAAGTTTTTTCCCTTATCTTTCCTTCTACACCAAATACCGCAGCAATTTCCTAATGTTGTGACTTTGCACACATATGGCAATAAGAAATTTCTGATTCTAATGACCCTCAAACGGGAACCAGAAATAGTAACCAACGTCAGCTTCATTAAAAACTCATCCGTTTCGAGCCATGAACCGTTCAAGCTCGTTTTAGTGTGAACCTGTTTATCCTTTTACTGCTCACATAAGTATTTTATGCAATGCGGGTGGTCATTTCTGTATGTTTCATTATTCCTTCGTTTTTTGTTACAATTGCTCTATTTTTTATGATTATTTTTTAAATTTTACATTTTTACTGAAGAGCCTGTGATTTAAATGCTAAGCTACAGACACACGGGAAAGAGCTAATTCAACGTCAGAAGAATTACTACCAGTACCTTCATCATATTTGATAGGAAAAATAAAAATGTACAAACCAAATATGAACGCGGGGAATTAAAACAGCATCCTGATTTATCCTCTGTTGCTCCTTTTCCGTTAAACGTGAAAGCCGTCTGCGGCTGATCTTTCAGAGTAAATCTCCCAGATTTCTCCCTCTGCTGCGTCCAGTCGCTGCTGCTGGCTCCACGTTTTTGTTCATTTTCCTTATTAACGTTTACTTCACGTTTAGGGGTGAGCATAACAATTTTCAATTCGATTCTCCGCTTTTTTCCCAAATTTTAACAACAAAACGCTGGGGGAAAAAAAAATCGGAAACGGAAGTTCCGTCTTGTTTTACTTCCGTCACGAAACAGAAACTGGAACTAAAAGCAGGATGCTCGCTTGGATACACCTTACTATTTACATATGCCAGGAACAATAACATTGTAATTATATAGAAAATCTAAATGAATACGTTTTTAAAGCAATTTTTGTCTTAGCCAGTTTTTATATATTTTTTCTGTTAGTGCTTTTCACGAAAAAATGAAAACAAGAACATTATTTTATTGTTTCCCTGTGAGAAGATTCAGATGTACCAGCAGGAAGTTAGTGGTAAACGACCTCAGGTCATTGTAAAATGAATTGTAGAGTTTTGCCTTTTAATATACTTTGTGTAAATATGATTTTCTTTGTGGAATTAAAATCTTCAATGTGCATTTTATTAGCTATGAAATTGTAACCATTCATGTTCCCTGTGAAATTTTAACCCTGTATGGTCCCGCTCCCTTGCACGGCGGATATAAATTAGCCTTTGGCTGAATTTCAGGTGTTGCAGTGGAAACAAATTCTACCTGGGGTAACTAGATTGCTACGTCGGGCATCGGTGTTATGTCAATTTTAGTTCCCCCTCTCACAAAAAATAACCCTCACCCTAATGCTTACTCTAACCATAACCACTCAGTCACCATAAATGTATGTTTAGCACAATCATAATTTATGAAATTACTCCATGTGGGACGAGTTTTATGTTTAGGGTAAAGGTTAGGATAAGGGGTTAGGACACGAGGGTGGAACAGAAATCGACATAACACCGGCTCCTGCACCCGACTAAGGGCCAACAAAATCTACCAGCAGGGGACACAAATTCTTCTGGCAGGGAACTAGCCTAGCGAACTAGACCAAAATCTTGCTTTGCAAAGTTTGGCTTGCCCAGCTAGCAGGGAACAGCAGGGGAAACATTCTACCAGAGGTAACTAGATTGCTACAACACCGGCATGTTTACAAGCATGTACGTAATATGTTGTATAGTACTGTCCCAATCAAAATAACATTTAACTAACTAAATATTAGGATTCATATTCACACAAAGGTACAACAATATAAATACAGAAAAATAAGAATATAAAAAATCTACTGTCAGGATTTTTGAATAATGGTGATAATAACTTTGATCATTAAAATAAATAGAAATATGGGCATAAGCAGCTTGAGGACTGTTCAAGGAACAAGGGAGACTTTTTACTTTTTTCTTTAATGTTTTTAGACACAACCAGTCTGGTATAGGCAATGCTGAGCTGTCCTTATCTAACAGTTTAGCCCTCCAACAATGTGTTCCCACTATTACAGTTATCCATCTATCTATCGAAGGATTAAGGATGACATTGAAATCCCTTCGATTAAAGGATACTAGTTTTGATTGAGAATTAACAATATTTGAGTTTATTTCTAACGTGAGCAAATAGTTTAACATTCCCCCATGAAAGTTGGAGCCTGTGACATTAAAAATGATAAGCATAGTCCTACTGGAGCGGATTACATGACAAATAAAATGTCTTTAAGATGCATACGTATGAGTAATTTTCAATGTTAAAATCACTGCTGAATGTTCTGACCCACAAGAAAACATTAAATTATTAATGTGATATAATATATTATGCTCTTCCCTGAAGGAGAAGATGTTGCCCTTGTGTGGTCTGACTGAAGAGACCTTTAATCACAACTTTAGGCCAGGAAACAGGTGATATAGGGGCCAGGCTCTGCCTGTGTAAACAGTAGCTGTGTTATCTTTCCCTTTTAGTTGATTCACTTGTACTACACATATAGTATGGGACATAAACACATGTCCCATGGAGCAGTCATAACAAAGTGAGCCCAAAAGGCTGATCCAGCAGACAGTCAAACTGAATACAAGTCTGTGGTGAAGACCACCTAGCAGCAGTGCAGATATCATTCAAAAGAGCCCATCTGAAAAGGGCCCAAGATTCAGGCACACCTCTGGTTGAATGAGCTCTCACTCCCTGAAGTAAAATGAGGACCCTGCTGCTATAGGAAGGCGAAATAGCCTCAACCCATAGATGTCCTTTCATCCAGTTGTTTTGGAGGTGCTGAGCATAGAGCTGCACATGACGCTGCCTTCTTCAGTGGTGGCCATGTGTTCAATGGTTTGCAAGAGACCAAGCTGGATCTGGGTTTTGCTGCAGATGGAGCCACTCTGTATTGTTCAACTATTCTGTGCACTTTACACAAGGGGATGCTGTATGTGAGAGTGATGCAGAGGAAGCCTTTTCTCCACCCACAGCACAAACTGAGCTGATTGAGGTATGCTTGGACAGGTCAGCTTCATTCTAGAATAAGGTGCTGTGGACTGATGACACTTAAACTGAGTTATTTGGGCATAACAAGGGGCGTTATGCATGGAGGAAAAGAACACAGCATTCTAAGAAAAACACCTGCTACCTACAGGAAAACATGGTGGTGGTTCCATCGTGCTGTGGGCTGTGTGGCCAGTGCAGGAACTGGGAATCTTGTTAAAGTTGAGGGAGGCACGGATTCCTCTCAATATCAACAGATTCTGGAGACCAATGTCCAGGAATCAGTAAGAAAGCTAAACTTCTGGGATGCTGATTTGGTTGATGAGGGGGTTTGTAATCAGTGTCAGCTATTTTGATGATAATGAAAACAACAGGAATGGTTTAGCAGAAGACAGACATTTTTACCCTTCTCATCTGTTTTAGTCAGTGGTTTTTGCATGTGACTAGGGCCCATGTTAGTGGTATGCTGGTAGCATGAGATGATACCCTAAAGAGGTTGCACAAGCACTTGTACTTCACCAGAAATTTACATCCAATGCATTTTGTGGACAAGATAAAGCTCCAAATATGTAAACATTGTATTCTGGCGCCCTCTTCTGGGCCACGATGTCATCGAATGGCATGAACCCAAACCCATCTTGCAAAAATGTGTCTAAGAATCACACACACACACACACACACACACACACACACACACACACACACACACACACACACACACACACACACACACACACACACACACACACACACACACACACACACACACTATGTTAATAATATATAAATTATTTAGCGTTTAATTGCAATTTTTTGGATTTCCTGCAAATTATTTGAAAATATGATGCCATTCACTCCATAAATTGCAAACCTAAAAGCTTTAATCAGGTTATGTGTCTATAAATAATTCTGGAACCATTTCTTTATGTGCATTTTTGCTGTTCTGGTAAGTTTTTCATTTTCTCTCAAGAGGTTTGTTATCTTGTTTTGAGCTGTAAAAGTAAAATCATGCGCTGCCTTTTCAACCAGAGATCATATTCTTGCTTCTAAATAAACAAAAATGTTTTTTTTTTTAATTTTCAGATTATTGCAAATATTTCAGCAGATTTTTTTGTGTTACTTTTGCATCTGATGTCATTTCGGCCACTTACACAAACAAACAAGAGAATCATTTTGCTTTTAGAGGGTTTTTATTTCACTGAGGGGACACACATGTGAACAGGTGTCCTCCCCGGGTGTGGAGGCTGCTGGGTTTAGTGGTACTGTCTTCCCAGGGCGGACACCACCACAGCCAGGAACTTCTGGAAGGCAGCCTGGGTCTCTGGGGTGAAGGCGGAACCCAGTTTGGCAGCGATCACGATGGTTAGACAGTCGGCCAGCAGCTGATTGGAGAAGATACAAAATTGAAGTGGGTTTCTTTTCTATGAAACCTGCTGGATGCTGGAGCCCGCAGGTCCTACCTTGAAGTTGTCGGGGTCGACGTGCAGCTTCTCGGAGTGCAGCACGCTCAGCTCGGCATATGTGGCCTTGATATTGTCCAGGTTCTTCACGGCCCGGTCCAGACCGTGCAGAACCTTGGTTCCGTGGGCCGCGATGTTCGGGTTGGTCTTGATGGCTTCAGCGTTGTAGAGGTTTCCGAAGCTCGCGAAGTACCTCTGAGTCCAGGGGTAAACGATCAGGCACCTGCAGGGAAAAGGAGAGCTGATGATGAGGAGGAGGAGCAGGAGGACACCTGAGCTGCTGGAGCTGTGCAGGCTCCGTACCTGGCCAGAGCCTTGGGGCCCACATCTTCATAGTCCAGGTTGGAGAAGATGGTAGTGATGATGGTGCGCTCCTGCTCGGTCCACTCAACCATGGCTGCGGGTTTATTTTCTTTGGTTCAGGCTTGAAAGAAAACGCTGAATGTTTATTCATCTGGAAGCTGCTGTTTTTAAACTTGCTAAACGTCCCCCACGCCCCGGAGGAGAAGGCTGGTGATAGGCTGGAGATGATGCGCTTCAGATAAAGCAACATCTCTCCAGAAGTTACCAGAAGCACCTAGAAATCTCTGGTCTCAGAGTCCAATGGATGTTGCACGTTTATTGGAGGAAATTTGAATTCATACTGCAGAGGCTATTAGAGTTATTTAACGACATTAAAGTACATTGCGCAAACAAGGTGAACATTAAATGTTCTTTCTGGTTACCTTAACTTCTTTAATGTCCAAATAAATAATAATAAAAAAAACATAACTGATATTTTACTTATTTGGACACAATGAAAGGGTAAAATACATAATATAACTTTGAAAATAATAATGTTTTAACTTTTTATTTTCAAACATCAACACTTTAGTGGCTTTTTTTATTTTAGTACATTGTTTTCAGTGCATGTGTCAATAAAAAATGGGAACTATACGTTCTGAACAACATTTGGAGAAGATTTGGTGAAACCATTTGGTTGAACTCTCAAAAATTTATTATTTTTGTTATTTTAATAAAAAAAGTAGTTTATTTAGCAGACAGCTGCATTTTAAATTAAATCCTTTCTCATTTTGTTTTAATTTGAAACAAAGAAAATTCCCAAGGAAGCGTGTTTTATTTAGTGTAATAATTTAAAATCATGAAAATAAATTGTTAAAATAAAACTACGATCTTTACTGGAGGCAAACAAAAGCTAACTTTGTAAATTCTGCCTTTTCCACGGTTTTTCCAGGAATCTTGGTGCTGAAATTCTTTCTGAAGAAATTTAAGAAACAAAGTAAGTATTTAATGGCTTTTTGTGGATGTATGTTTACAAAGCTATTTTCAAAGGAGAGAGGGCTTCTAAAAGTTAATTCTGTTTAGTTTTTATTTATTATCTTTAACAGTTTTTTGCATGTCATTTTCCCCCCTTTCTTGTGCAGTGTTTTGGTAAACACATTTAATGTAACATTATATATTAATATTAACACTAAGTAAAACCTTGCAATAACATTTTAAATAATAGTGACCATTTTAGATCTCCAACTCCTCAAAACATCAAATTACAGATGAAGATTCAAAGTGAAAAAAGTTCACAAAATAATGAGCTGCAGAAACTTGTAAAATCTCTTCAAAATAAAAGTTTTCAAGTGATTTCAACTCAGAATCTCTTTTTGTGATGTGGGGAAGTGAACACCAATTTGTTATTTTCCCCACCCAAAATGCATATAAGTGTTTCTGACTTTATCTCCTGCAGCAGCTGGTGCTATCTGCAGCAGCTGCCCCTCCTCCGCCCAGGGCCCCAAAGCCCAAATCCTGCATGCACCGTTTTGATTAAGAAAATAACTTGAAGTCAGCGATAAAGACCCTCAGAACTATTTTCTCCTCCTGATAGAAAATAAATTAATCAGTGGAGCCAAAAAGTGCAATTAAAAAATACCCAATCACTGACAAATCTTAGAAGGATTATAGCAGATTTTTTTTACTAAGAATTTATGAAAAGTGACTAATTTGTTTCCAGATTTAGTAAAAACTATGTTAGCATTTGTTTTAGTTTGTCAGGTTTAAAAAAAAACAACCAGTAAATATTGGTCTTATATTTTCGTTTTAATGTTGCATTTGATTTAGGCAGAAATGTTAATTTTGTTATTGTTTATCTTTGTTTGAGGCAACAAAAATATACATTTATCCTGGTTATCACATCAAACATAAACAAGCATTTTAATCCTAAAACATTTGATTTTATAACAAATACATTATTTTTTTAAATCCAAAACAAATGTAATTAAATAACAGTAATTAAATACATTTTTAATTGCTGTTTTAAAATTAGTTCAACCTTTTCTTGCTTGCTTGCTTTTTAGAGAGAGATTATCTTTTACTTCTCATAAATTTTAACTTATTCACCTACTAATTTGAGGAAAAATGTGTAACTTTTTTTTTGGCTTTTCTGCAACATTTTAGGACACCCTGCGTCTGCATCTAAACCAGCACATGCGCAAATAAGTTTTTTTTTTTTTACCAACAGACAGCCCCGCGATGCGTCGGGCTGATAGCGCCCTTGGAGCTGGCATCAGGCCCATCCGCCTATCAGCTCGGTTCTGGGGCCCAAACTGCGTCAGCGGACGCGCCCTGGATCACATGGGTGTGACTTTGGGGACCAACTAAATTTAAGCCGGCCGCCGGACAGAAGCCTGGAATCTGATTCAGGAACAGAAGCAGACATGAGTTTGACTGAGAAGGACAAGGCTGCGGTCAAGGCGCTGTGGGCCAAGATCTCCAAGGCCTCCGATGCCATCGGGGCTGACGCTCTCGCCAGGTAACTATGACCCACTTTAGGTAATGACCCACTTTAGGTAATGATGGGGATTTTGGTTTAGGCCAGGTGAAAGAAGACAAACTTAGCTCCAGTTCAGAAATCTTCTCTTGGCTTGCTTTATTTTTCTGGATGGTGATCAAAATTGAGAACACCTCAATTGATTCATTGATATTGGCTTATGTCTAAAAGGCACAAAAATCAATATTTTAAAATATATATAAACATTTATGGCAAACAACATTAAGAGCCGTGCGTAATTACGCAAAGCATGTTGGAACTCGGTATTAGCTTAATTCAAAGAGAAATATATAAAGATGATCCAGGTGAGGCTCGAATTCACAGCCTCGGCATTGCTCACGCTCAATACTGACTCATGGGTACCACGCGCCAACCAATTGCGCCACAGGAGCGCGCTTTCCACCGACCGACGAACTAATTCAAATGTGTTTATTTGTTTCCTGTCCCGCGTTCATCTAAACAGCCTCTCTGTGTCTGCAGGATGCTGGTGGTGTACCCCCAGACCAAGACCTACTTCTCCCACTGGCCGGATATGAGCCCCGGTTCGGCTCCCGTGGCCAAGCACGGTAGGGTCGTTATGGGCGGAGTCGCTCTGGCTGTGGCCAAGATCGATGACCTGACCAGCGGCCTGCTGAGCCTCAGCGAGCTGCACGCCTTCCAGCTGAGGGTGGATCCGGCCAACTTCAAGGTAAGACCCCAACGTTAAATATCTGAATGTTTATTGGCCCTGGCCTGGACTATAAGGGGGTTTATTTAACGTTTTTACTCCGTCCGCAGATCCTGGCCCACTGCATTCAGGTGGTCATCTCCAGCATGTTCCCAAAAGATTTCACCCCAGAGGCGCACGTGGCTCTGGACAAGTTCCTGTCCAACTTGGCTCTGGCTCTGTCTGAGAAATACCGCTGAGCTTACACACTCACTCACTCACACACATGTGGTGAAATATTAATGCAACAATAAAAGGCATGTCGTCAAAAATCTCATCTGTCTCCTTTGACTTTGTATGAAATCACTCGTGATCAAATAAGAAACGAATGAACTTTATTTCCTTTGCATGTAAACGGATTAAACAAATGATCATGATGAAGTATAAACATGAACCAAAATGCGGTTTGATCTTGAGCTGCTGCACCTCGCATCCCTCCTCATGGTTTCATAATAATTCGTAATTTATTGTCTCCCAGAATGAGCCTGAAACAAAGCAGAAGCACGGGGGCTCAGAGAGTTGCGATCAGCACATCATGATATTACTCACCCTACCTGACCAGAACAGCCGCCACCAGAGCTCCTCCGATGGGTCCGACCCAGTACACCCAGTGGTAGGTCCAGTGGTTCACTAGGACAGCGGGACCAAAAGCTCTCGCGGGATTTAGACACGTTCCAGAAATGTCACCTCTGTGGATACACAATAAATAAATAAATAAATAAATAAATAAATAATGTGTTTGCAAATCAAAAACAATAAATTAGATTTTTTTTTGTCTTCAAAAAATGGTGGATCTTGGATAATTTTTCAACATTCATTATAATTAAACAATTTTTTTATCTGGTCACTTTTTGACCCAAGTTAAATTATATAAAATCAAATTGATTTTGATTAGTTTTACATTGCTGTGATAAAGTAGGCTATCTTAATTGTGTATTTATTAGTAGTAATATTGAAACCTTCACATTTTGTTTTTGGAAAATACTCAGACAGTTCCAAAGCTATTATTATTTTTGAAAATAGTCTAATTTATGCTAAAACGTAAAAAAAACTCCCAAGCTGAGCATTTCAACTATATTTCTCCTAACTCATTCTGTTTTAGGCGCTCTGTCTCTTTAAGAACTATACTGTGTTCTGATTGGTCCACATTAATAATCTTGTGGTTTGTTTCAACTTTTAAACAGCCCATTAAGATATTTACCTGCCTTTTTTGTGTAAACCCGACAAATAATCTTACCTGTTGTAGAAAGCCCAAAGTTCACCAAGACTGATAGGCTAACAGCTAGAATAGGGGTTATGCAGCCCTGGAGCCGACTCTTCAGCCCCTCTTATCGCATAAATTAGCTTTTCAATAGAGAAAAGGCAGTTTTTACATATTTTTACATTTGACATCACATCATTTCAGTAACAAAATGAGCTAAAGTCAGCTTGTTTCACCAGAAGAAGCTTGCTCTCATATTTATTTATACAACTTTCTGACATTAGAAGCAATTTCACTGCAAATCTATAAGAAAAATAAAAAAATTCAAAACATTTTACCCAAATTGTTGTAAAAATTGCTGTAACTCCTACTTAACTGGAATTCACTGAATTATGAGACAAAAAAGTTATACAAAGTAGAACTGAACAAGGAAATGCTAAAAGTATTTATTTACCCAAAATGGATTTTATTTTTGTTGATCTTCAAGGCATTAAGGTTCAACTAAATACCCAACTTATTTCTAATTGGGCAACTTGCTTATTTAAAATAAAAAAGCTCTATTAAGTGCTGCTCAGTTTTTGGTCAGATCAACAGCACCCTATCAGGAAGTCAAACGTCAGCATCAGTATGAGCTGCAACACATCTACATTTCATCTCACCCTGCCAAGATGTTGATGACAATGGTAGCGCCCACCAGAAATGGCACCAGCGGTGTTTTTGTCTTGCTGTTGACGGCCCCTAGCAGCACCACCATGGTCACCAAGCAGGTCATCACCACCTCACCAAATATGGCCTCAAACAGCTGGCCATGTGACTGGATGGTGTCAAACGCTGCTCCGGTGGCGTTCTGGTACCGCTGTGCAGGGGTCATCAGCTGCAGAGAGGGTTGTTTTAGTTTACTGAAGACAGACGGAAACCTGCATTTGTTTTGGATTTTCAGCTGACCTTTGCCATTCCTGCTCCAAGCACTCCTCCAATCAGCTGGCTGACGAGGTAGGGCCCCACCATTATCAGCTCCATGCCTCCACACAGGTAGATAGCAATAGTGAATGGAGGGTTGAAGTGAGAGCCACTTGAATCCCAGAAATGACAAAGTCAAAAGATATTTAATTGAAACCATGTCACAGATTCATAGAAAGGTGCTTACCTGATTTTGTCCATGAGAGCCACCAGCACCGCTACAGCCAGCCCATGCACCAGAGCCGGCTGCAGCCGTCCAGCTGCTGGCACGTTCTCGATGACAGACACACAGCCGATGAAAACAAAGAACATGGTCCCTACTAATTCAGCCAGGCAAGGCTGGAACAGTCTCTCATACCTGTTCTGCATTTGTGTCCCAGATGCTTTCTTACCCTTCTTCATAAGAGCAGACTCGGCTGTGTCCTCCATTTCCATTTTCTCCATGTTTTTCCTTAATTTGATTCTTATTTTCCTGGTTCTTCCACCTCCAGAGCTCCAGCCTGTCTGCTGACTGAGTTAAATTATCTGCAAGGTGTTGTTAAGTTTGGGTCATAAAGCAGCAAAAGGTGAATGATATGAGCCTGTCTCCGCCCAGCACACCCCAGTCCAGCGAAACCGTTCTCAGGTAGACCTCCCAAAGTGTCGATAAGGTTCAAAGTGGGACACAACTCGCCTGATCTGACCAGTTAGAGGGATTCAGTGGTTATTTATTCACCACAGCCATCACCTCGGCTTTATGTGGTTGAACAGAAACAAACCAGACCTGGGTTCAGTTTATAACACATCTGAGAGGTCAGTGTGCTGGTGAACTCTACTCTCATACACACTAAGCATTATATAATACCAATCTGAGGTCTGACATGTTTCAGTAAACCAGGAAACTAACTTTGTGACTGAGCACTGCCTGTTTCAGCAGGTAGATTTCGGCATCAGACAGACAGAGAGAGAGAGAGAGAGAGAGAGAGAGAGAGAGAGAGAGAGAGAGAGAGAGACAGAGAGAGAGACAGAGAGAGAGACAGAGAGAAAGAAATAGAGAGGGAGACACAAAGAGAGAGAGAGAGAGGGAGAATGAAAGAAAGAGAGAGAGAGAGAAGGAGAGTTAAGGAAATAGAGAGCGAGAGAGAGAGAAAAAGAGAGAGTGAAAGAAATAGATAGGGAGACACAAAGAGAGAGGGAGAGAGAAAGAGAGTGAGAAAGAGAGAGAGAGAGAGAAAGAAATAGAGGGAGACACAAAGAGAGAAAGAGAGTGAAAGAAATAGGGAGAGAGACGGAGAGAAAGAGAGAGAAAAAGAAATAGAGATAGGGAGACACAAAGAGAGAGAGGGAGAGGGAGAGAATGAAAGAAATAGAGAGAAAAAAGAGAAAGAGAGGGAGACACAAAAAGAGAGAAAGTGTAAAAAACTGATTTCATTTATTAAGGGAAAAAAGTTGTTTTTTATTAGTTTTTCAATTAGATTTTCAACCAGTGGTTTTGCTTCATTTGACTGAAGTGCAGCAGTTAGACTGTTTTACGTTTACATCTACATCTAAGTCCTTTTATCATCTCAAGCAATAAAGTTTTGTTCAAGATTTTCAACCAAACAGTGAAGAGTTGAAAACTCCAACAACGACTGCAGCAGATGGTAAACAAAGCACTTTTATTCTTAAACATATTTCATGTTTTCTCAGTAATCTGTTTAAATTAGCACCAGATTTCTATCATGAATACATCTGGTCAAATATTGAAATGATCTTCTATTAAAAGCAGTAGAGAGAATATTTCCATCCAGAATGGAAATATTTCTTCATCACCTGAGACATTTATTAGAGCTTTGCTTAAAGCAGCATATTAAAGGGTGAGAGGAGCAAGTTCCACAGGTGATCAAAAAGAGTAGACTTGTTATCTTCCACTACTAATTAAATAGCCCCATTGTGGAGCACTTGGTAGCACTGTTGTCTCCCAGCAAGATGGTTGAAGGTTCAAATCCTAACTGCAGCCTTAGTATGAAGAATTAGCACGATCTTCCAAAAACATGCATGTTTGGTTGATCGGAGACTCTAAATCCTGTGTGTCCCAGTGATGGACTGGAGTCCTGTCTAGGGTGTCTCCTTCCATTTGTCCATTGACTGTAAAAGAGTTAGTAGTAGAAGTAGTAGTAGTAGTAGTAGTAGTAGTAGTAGTAGTAGTAGTAGTAGTAGTAGTGGTCAAGTCAGTAAGCTCCCTGCAAGCCTAGTGAGGAATAGGTTGAGACGAGTAGGCAAACCATATAAAACATAGAAATTGTCAAAGTAACAAAATTTTTTACAGTTTTCATATAAAGTGGCTGAAAGTACTGATTGTATAGTGTTTTCCTGAGTCAAAACTGCTAAATCTAAATTTAGTTTGAGGCTTAAATTACTATGAAGAACCATTAAATCCACGTCCTACCTATGCAGATGTTGAGAATTGCAAATGAAAACTAAACGTCATACTGGCTTTTTGATACCAAGATAGCACTTATTTTCAAATGGAGGGAAACATTAGGTATTGTGTGAAAATAAGTCCAGGACAACAAATGCAATACCAAAGTGACATCACTGAACCAGACACAGAGAAAAACAAGAGGGAAACGGCTGTAAGTTCAGCAAACTTCAAATCTAGGAAGAAAGAACCACCATAAATCATGTCATTTGTTAAGTAGCAGCTCTGCTAGGAGAGAAGAGATTCTGTGGTGACGTCACGTATGCAACGTACCAACGTCCGATATGTAGTCATGCTAATGACGAACTTTTACTAGCTGATAAATCTTTAAGTATGTGACTGGTGTGGTTGAAACCATCAACATATATACTGGACAATTTGTTTCCATAGGCTCAATAATGAGTTTTTAAGCCAAAATGGGAGGTGGCCACCACCGTGTCACAGGTTCCGTTAAGCCCAGACAATTCCACAAAAGGGAAAAGAGGTGGAGCTGAGGGTGGGGCTGTAAGGCTGGGATCAAATGACGACACCCGTCAAACTGAAGCAATGTAGCTACAAGCTAACCCAAAGCTAACATGGAGGTGGGTGCTAAGCTAACGGAGGTAGCTACCTAGTGTGAGCGTCCTGTCACAGTGTCCTGATTGATCATGCGCCCTGGCTACTTGGCCAAGGGGATGTCCCTTTGGCTGACTGGTTAGCATGCGTGGCTCTCACCCGGGAGTCTGGGGATCGAATCCCGCCCGGGCCTTCGTTTCTCCACCTTGCCAGACTAGCTACAACCGGAGTTAACTGTGCACAACACCAGAGCTTCTGAGTCACAGATACGCCGGGCTGACTACTGTGTAAAACCAGGTGGAACACAGAGGTCTCCCGAAAGCTCCAAAAGCCGGCAGCCGCACAGCAGACAAGCGCCACTGCGATCTGAGATGCACCGAGCTGCCGCTGAGGGGAGAGACACCATATCGATAGTCGGAACCCAGCTCCACCAGCATGTTATATTTCAACCCATTTTCTAAAATGCAGCATTATGTTAAATGCACTGGGTTTTACCCTATTACATTTACATTTCATGGTTAAACAGTACATGTTAAAATCTAAGCTCAGCTAGTGCAAGAGCGGCAGTGACCTGAAATACATAAATATAATTTCACTTACCAAAAAAAAATGGAAGTGGCGACTCCTTGGACGCTCTACTAGTGCAATTAATACCACAGCAAGTCATTTTGTCCAACAATTGCACGAATAATATCCAAATAGAATGCACAAATGCTACAACTACTGGTCTAAGTTCAGAGACTAAAAATCGCGTAAGTTTCCAGGCCAGACCGAGGCTCTACTGAGGCCTTTCCACGGAGCTAGCTCTGTGGTCACGTGGGTCTGATGCTCATTAATTATACAGAATTTTAGGCTTTTAATACACTTAAACAGAAGAGTGAGAAAAAAAATTCACCCCCCTCAGAGTTGTCATGAGTGTAAACTAGATCATTTAAACCTAAAACATGTGTTGGTACCAGGCTGTAAACATGTTTATTTCTGCTGTGAAATTGGTATTTTTAACATGGGAGTCAATGCTCGCTTCTGACACCAGCCCCCAGTGGATGAGGGTGGAACTGCAATTTATTTCACTTCTGTGATGGCTTCATGTTCAGACCCGAATTATGGGGGCTTGGTTGAAACACACATCATTATTTTCATGTAAATTGCAATACAACATATGTGCGATCCAGTGTCTAAAGCAAAGCAAATAGCTCTTTTAGCCCCGTTGTCTTGTGTTCATTTTTTCGTTCTTCCGAGGACCCATGAGCTGACCAGAAAGGGAGGAGACTTAAGTTCCCTATGGGGATGAGTGGGTGTGCCCAGCTTCAGCTTGTTCACTTAAAGGGACAGAGCCCTGAAATGGCCCATTCTGGAAGGTACTGAAAATGCCAAGATTAAGACTGCTTAAATAGATTCATGTGAGAGGGATTTTGTGCAAAGAACTTCATGAGCATGTTTTGTATTGACCATAGAGCTATTGTAACTTTAAAATAAAAAATGTGTACCCTTTAACCATGACATTTCCTAAACCTGCTTCTTGAGAGCTCTACCACATTTAAAGGATTGGTAGATAGATTAAAAATTGACCACTTTACCATCTGGTACATCATCACATTCTGGTATAAGCATGACCTTTTTTCTATAATTTTGACTTGAGCATAATTTGAAACTTGTTCCTTACTTAAGTCAAACTAAGACCAGTAATGCGAGTCCCCCACTAGAATTAACACCATGGACTTTACTCTGTGTCACTAATGCAGTAATAAAGAGGTGATAACAGCTCCCATATATCAGAAATGAGACAGCCCAATGAGAGGCAGAATAATGGGAGAGCTCCAAGGAGCATTGTTTCTCAAGCCTTATTTGGACCTTCCACTCTGTGCCATCAGAAGCCTTCTGCAGTCACCACTAATGATTAGGTTAGAAAACATGTCCATAAATCTACACTCCAATTAAAAAAAGATGCTGGTCCAATTCTACACAACTATTGAGTCCATCCTCACCTCCTCCATTGCTATGTGGTACGCTTAGGCAACTGCCAGAGAAAAGAATAGACCACATGCTGTGCGTTCAGCAGAAACGGCGATCGGCTGTAGCCTCCCATATATCCCTGATCTGCATACATCCAGGGTTCAGAGGCATGCAGGTAATATTACAGCTGACCTCTCTTATCCTGGTCCTGGACACTCCCTGCAGGCAGAATGTCTCTTCCCGTCTCTGCCGCACTAGTTTCATAAGAAACCCACAAAACCCTGAACTTATATATACATATATATATATATATATATATATATGTATATATATATATATATATATATATATATATATATATATATATATATATATATATATATATATATATATATATATATATATATATATATATATACATATATATCCTTAACTGATCTAAATTAATCTTAATTCATAATTTTGGCCAAAATAGAAAGCATCTCTAGCCTAGCCTTGAATGCAAATAACAGCTAACATCCTGCAGTGCATTTGTTTTATACCTCTGACTGAAGAATGTATGTTAGACAGAAAATCAAATCCAGGTGATTTGGATGCTTTAATTACTTTGTCACAGAGGGAAGGTTATTTTACAGTCTGCAGAAGTGTTGAGAAAAACTTCCACACGATTCTCATCTTTCAACATTAAACACATGCTGGCATCCAACAGATCCTGTTCGGCTCGCATCATGGCTCCTTGATGAGAACTTTTTGCTTTGTAAATTCCTTCCACTCTCAGAACCCCAACTGGGACAAACCTGTAGAAAAAGACCACGGTTCAACCTTTGTAATGACGTTTAGATGATTAAAGTGGGTAAATGAGTCCTTTAGAACATGTCTGGTACTTGATAGGTGAAGAGGAACAATTTAGTCAAAAGTATAAAACAAGTGTCCTTTTACCCAGGCTGAGTTTGTCCTTGGAGGCCCAGCAGATGCAGTAGTGTTGGAGAAGCTGCTGCAGCAGCTCCCGCTCATCCAGGAACTCCAACAGCTCAATCCTGCAAGAGACAGAAGCTAATTTAGGATCTGATAGTCAGGAAGCTAAAGGACCAGGACATGTCTAAAAGGAGGCTGTATTTGTTCAGCTTTATTATCCTTCTGACTGAAGACATGCGTGCGACTTTACTAAATATTTCATTCAAAACAAATAAGATATTTTATTGACTCTATTTGCAGTATTTTGATTACTTCTAAAGCAAAAACCCCGGACCTTCCATCCTCCCCAATAAGAGCGTCAAGCATCCGAAGCACATAACAGTTTATTAATTCTGTTCTCCACTAAAATCTTTTTATAAGCTTCAGATATTTTAATGTCTTGTTTTATAGTAAAAACACACCCAGAACCTCAGAACACTGACCCTAACACGCCTTCTTAATTATATATTAATATACGACCGACTAGCTAGTTAAATCAATAGGAATGAAGCAATTCATCAAATGAATAAGTCAATGGCCAAAAGTCTTCAAGACAAAACTGACGCAACAGCAAACTACTAAGAGATCAATGAACTCACAGGGACGATGACCTCATTAGTTCACCACCACAGCATCGTGTGTGTTTCTGATTAAAACTGTGATCATAAGAAGGCCAAAAAAACCCCAAAAAAACCCAGGATTCTACTCAGGACAAACATCGCACAGTAGGGAGCATCCTGGTCTGCCATCTGTGTGGGGGTTAGGGTCATTAAGGCCCCTCAGCAGACAGTCACCACTCCTACTTCCTCAGGAACGAGAGGAAAACCCTTCAGGACCCATCGCACCTACCTCCCATCAGTTTACAGTTCTGTAGCAAGAACCTCTTCACGCTGATGCTAAGGATGAGTTACCTCGCCACATCCTGCTGAGGGAGCATACTGTAGACTGTCATCATGTCTAGAGCGTCAGCATGGTCCCAACCAGTCGTCAGAAAACGATCCTTCTGTAAACACCAAACAAGAAACTAGTTAAGATAAAGGATTAGATAAAAAAACAACTTCAAGATCTTATGGTTACCTGAGAGTCCAGAGACTGACAGATCTCCACTCCAGCCAGGGTGCACTGACGACGCTGCAGGTTCTCGATCATCACCTGACCAAATCGGTCGCTCATGTTCACCTGGATGAGAGCAGGAGGTCAACTAAATGGCAGCTATGTCCTACAATAAGCCTGTTTTGGATTAAATCAGATCTTCTGTCTACCTGCTCGTAGTTTATAAACATGGCGGTGTGAAAGGTTTCTGCTGCCCAGTGGACAAGGTTGGAGGACTGAGACGGTGTCATATAGACCAGCACACACTCTGATAGCAACAATGTTGGTAATCTGTGGTTTGGAAGAAGACGCATAACTACAGTTTAATTACGAAACACTCAGAAACAAGCAAAATTAAGATGTTTCTGTCCTCTGCTTCTTTGAAAACGAGGCTTATAGGATAACAATAAGACTAAATGATCACAATATCTGCTAATCTTCCACAAAATCCAAGGCTGAGGTTGTATTAGGTTCACAGCTGTTATAACAATGAAAATACTTTGGTCCACAGAGGACTCATGGTAGACTGCAAGGAGCCCATACCATCAGCTGTCCACTGCCGTGCTGATGGCTGGGATCAGCCGTTAGTGCTGATAGGCTGTTTTTGTTAGTCTCATTTGTCAAAAGAACATTTTTCCAGAAGTCTTGAGGTTCCTTCAGATGAAACTTTCCAAACTGACGGTGTTCTCTTCTGTGGCCACAGAAGGTAATCTGTTAGGAACTAAAAACACACATTCTGGGTGTGGTGTGCTTTCAAATCATCTGTGCCGCAGTGCTTCCCTCACTTTTTACAGTGAGTCTTATCTAGAGCCACTTTAAATGAAAAAACGTAAAGATAGGCTGCAAGTCTTGGACCTCGAAAGGGAAAACAAGCCAGTGACTGACAGACAGCAGCACCTATTTTATAAAACCACTGACATCAAGTTCAGCAGTCTAGCATGAAAGCGTAGGATCAAATAAAAAGATGCCTGTCCCGTACTCTGGGTTAAGATGGAACTTCTTCAGCTTTTCATCCAAGCTTGAAATATCTCTGAGGTCGGCGCCTACGATGCAATAACGATCTGAATCAAGATTATGAGCATCTGGAAAAAAAACAAACACAATTAGTGAACAACGCTGATGTTAAAGAAATACTATTTAATGTTCCAAACCATTAATAAGCCATAGCAATAACAGTAAATGTTTTTAAGTACCTAGCAGTAAAGAGTCTGTTGAGTGCATGTCAATGATAGGCTTGGATAGAGGAGGTTTTGTCCTAAAAAACACAATTAGTATAATAAAGACAACAAATAGACAACAAAACCACTCAACAGTCAAATGTGTTTACCTGCTTTACTGTTAATCTAAAAAATGTCTAAATAAAGCTTTATAAATTACTTAAATTAAGAGCCGAGGCTGCATGGGCAACTCGCACAAAGCTGCACTTGGACACCAGGATGTCACACTTATTAGACGCCATTACTAAAACACAAAAATGCACAAGGTATGCACTAATATAAATGTAAGGAAATATAAGGAAAGTAAGAAAATATATATAGTCAACTGTGAAATTCATCAGTTCGTTCAGTTGTCATAAATGAGCTTTTGGCTCCCCCTGGTGCTCTCTGCTTCACATTACACCTTACAGACCATAAGGATTCATGTACTTTTTTATACTTTCGTGAAATGCGAACTTATCATAACTAACACTTGATGAATGGAGATATCTTTTTATATTTGAGGGTTTCAGTTGAATGGGGGTAATTTCAAAGCTATTTCTGTGTGAAAGTGTTAATTATCTCAGCAGTCGTAGGTAGGGTTATGGTTTGAAGAGCCTCCGGTCAAAGGGTTAACGTCTGACAGCTAATCAGACTTCTGCCAAAACCACATGTATTGGTGTTGTACTAAAACATCTCATATTTCATTATAGTTCAATCAAAAGTTATTTCATAAAACCTTTAGACCGCCAACTTTTTACATTAGGTGAATATTTGAGCAGGAATATTAAGACATTACTGCCATTATTGACCCTTAGAGGCAGCATAAGTGTAAATACGTACACACCCTTGTGATTCAACAGCAGTTTGAACTGTTGATAGCGTCATTTCATCAAATAACATAACATGGACAGCTGAGAAAGAAATTGGAGCACTTTTAAGATGGCAGCAACACACTTTGGTCGTGACTGCAGTAGGATATAAAGTATTTCTCTATACATAAGAGATTCAGAAAGCTAGCTTCAGCTGCTACAGTAAACACTGGTATTTTGTAGTAAACATGTTTTCCATAGATACACATGATGTGGTTTAATAATTAAACTTCATTCAAATAACCAAAGTAATCCTACCAGCCTTACTTTATATTGTGTATTTTCTTGGCCACAACAGCTGGAAAGTCAACTTCAAACAACTTCTGTGGCAGAAGGTTTTCATCCTGTTACACACACACACACAAACACACACACTTTGATAAGTTGAATTGGTATATTGTCTTGTCAAAAACAGACAGAATAATTGTCTAAAACTCAAAAACAAGTTGATGAGATTCAGAAGGGCAAACGGGTTTGCAAACCTTTAGTCTCCAAAACATGGTATCCAGACCAGCACCCAGGTTGATTATTTGGCATTTGCACTCAGTTTTCTTTATAAATTCATCAAGGAGGAGGTTCACCCCTTTAACACGAGCGTAGTAACCTTTCAAATCATTCGAGGAGACAAATAAGAGAAAGTCACAGACTCAGTTACAACAAGAAGGAATCTTTAATGTCTCGTATGGAAACTGTGATTCATCCATCTGTGTTTGCGAACCCTAATCAGCAAACATGAAGAGCTCAGATGTATTTTTAGCAAGTTATTTTGTCTTCTGTGTGCATGTAAGCATTACAGGACCTTACTCAGTGTTTTCTATGGGTTGAGGACAACAAAAATAAAACCTGTTGACAGCTCTGTGCTAAATTTAGAGTCACAGTATAAACCATCATGAAGCAGGTGAAGTTCATTTCTACAAATCTACTTTAGAACAACAAAATGAAAATTATTTGAGTTTTCCAGCGCTTCCAAAGAATAAAGGACTTCATTGACAACATTTAAAATATTTGATGATCCCTCATTGGAACGAAGGACGACAATAGTTTATTAATATACTGATGATCTCTTTTTCTCTTGTCTACTACTTTTTATGTGCGATACGTATGACTGATCAGAACTTGACTTTCTCCCTACACTTCACTGGGATGCTAGAATTCCTCGTAAATAGGAAGGAATAATTAATTTGACAAACATCCTGATTATTTTAGGTATTTATAAAATCTGCAACAACTATTTTCACAGCTCATTTCAATTAAGGTTGTATATTATTGAGACATTTAATTCATTTCAGTTTTCGTTTCTTAAAATGATTTATTATCTTACATTTCTATATTGTGCTTAAAATGTTATAATTATCTATATAAATTGTATTCATACTGTGCTCTACAGCATTTGCTAAATGTTTTTATTAAATAACTTGAATCAAAAGGAAACAGTAACGTGCAACACTGAGTGGATTATTCACCTCTGTTGATTTCAGGGGCTTTTCGCTCGCCTACATTTCTTACAAAGTAGTGGATGTGTAAGTCCTTCCAGTAGCCTTGACTGGTAGCAAACCTAAAATGTAAAAGAAACTGGGTGAAGGCATGTAGATATGAATATACTATTAGGAATCGAAAAATAAAATACGTGACATTAAAATTGAACCTATAAGGATTTTTTAGCTTTTGCAAAACTCTCACTCACATAATATTTATATGATCAAATAAAAGGTAAAGAAATAGAAGTCACCTACTAATACTCTAGTATTATTAGTCTTCTTTTGGGGTTAGATGCTGGACATTACGTTTTTTTAGCTAGTTATTTATTTCGTTTTTTTTGTTTGTTTACCTTTTACATGTGGTTGCATCGTCACAGGTTGTCCTCACTGCTTCATCCGCAGCGTCTGAGTCTGTGAAGGGCTGCCGAGCTGCCATTAATGATCCAGGTTTTAACTTTTTGTAGGAAACATTAAAATACCAACTTCTTTGATGGTTAGCTACAGGCTAATGAGCCTGCTAGTAGTTTGAATGACTGAAAGATTCGTTTAACAAAGAGCGGAAATAAAATCCGGTAGAATTGTGAACATGTAAAGCTGCAGAGTTCCTCGTGAAACATAAACTAAACGCTTGAAAGAAAAAAAAAAGTCTGTGCTAATAATGCTCATCTGGACGTTAAAAACAAACCAAATGTGAGCAAGAAATGTGTACGCTATTCGAACCGGAAGAATAAACACATTTTTCCGGTTCATAATTTCACCACCACAATAAAAGCATTTCAAATGTGTACGAGGAATAGAGGAAATGTATTCACTAATGCGAATTTAGCAATAAGAAAACTTTCTTTAAAATAAAACTCTCATTTTCAAACGTCTCAAAGTAAATGTCCATTTAATGTTGTTTAATGTTTATGATGTCTACTTTGTTTATTTTTGCTACAGTATTTTGACTGATATGTAAAGATTTGCTGCTCTTCTTGTAACCCTCAACTTTTTGTGTAAAGAAAAGATTTCCTTTCTCTGATTTTGTGACATTTCTTTTGTCATGTGGAGCTTCTATAGATTTGACATCTAGACGGTCAGTTGCCGTAGCAAAATGATTTGCTCTGCATGTCAGATACATTTATGGCTTTCCAGGCTAATTTGACCCTTGTTGAATTGAGGACTTGACTTTCAGAGGCCCTGCTTTCTAGGCTATTGGTCCAGGTTTGAAACCTTTTCAGCTTCAGACCCACAAAATAGCAATTGTCAAGATATGCAAACCTAACCTATCTCTGATTTTATTATAAAAAATAATTAAACAGTGAAATAATCCAGGGCATGAAGAAAAAAATCATATTAATGTAAATTCATTTATGACAGTTTAATTGACTTGAACCTCTTTTATTAAACAATTCTGCCAATTTGCAGCAAAGCTGAGCCTTAGGTCGATTGTAAGTGGTCAGACCGTCATAGTAATGTGGCACAATCATGTCCTTTTTACAAAATATTATGCAATGGCAGCATCAACGGGAATGAGGGCAGCAGGATAGAGTTAACTTGCTTTTTATTGCGATCGAAGCTGTGCTCATCAAGTTTTTTTGACAAGCCGCTCCTAAAGGTTTCTGTTCTCCACAGTCTATGGTTTAATGGAGAGAAGCTCACAGAGCTCTGCATTGCTCCAGTTTACAAACACAGCTGATTCTGTTTGCAAAAGTGAAACATTTTCCCATTTTATTTTCATTTTCAATGTTGTTTCTGACCAGAGCTCAGCAGTAATTCCTCATGTTATCATGACTCCACCCTCTGTTGCTCCAAGGTGTAATATGCATTCACGAGTCCAGAATTGTGGCAATATTGCAGCCAAGCATGGCAGCACAAATGCCGCAAAATACCTGTATTGGCCATGGCGGGTTCATAAAACACAACATGGCGGCACTATTATGCTGACTTTCTGGCATGGTCTGTCTTATATATAGGGCTTTTTTTTAATCTATTATGATAAAAATAAAGTTTCAGCAATTACTTTGCAATTCTATTTTGGGTTTCTGGAAATAATTTAAAGACCCCTGTGGCATTTTTGTTGACCCACAGTGGGCTCCCGACCCCGACTTTGAAAACCACTGCTCTGAAGAACATTTGCTTCTTGCACTATACAATTTCAGTCTCTTCAGCTTAGACTTGCTTTTACCATTTAGCGATTTTATGCATTGTGTTTGAAATTTTCATTTTTTCATAATGAATTTTAGAAGACTTGTCCAAATGTATTTATTTGAAATAACTATTTTAATTTTAAAATTTCTTTTTTTACCAATCTGAAAAAACTAGAAAGAAAACAAAAACCTCACATTACACAAAAATTTGGGTTCAATAGGCACTGGCGCTGCCAGAAAAGTTTCATAGGGGTGGCCATGGGGCCAGAGAAAATTTTGGGGTGGCACACCAAATTGACCCTCGTAGTAAATCTGGGAAAGTTTAGCCTGTAGTTATGTAATAAATGCTCCTTTATTCATTTTCATTAAAAAATAAAAATAAAAGCACACACACAAAACAAACAATATGGCTTAATAAAGAACACTGGTCTTCCCTGGGTGTGAACAGTGGGGTGGTCAAGGCCACTCCTGGCCACCCCTTGGGGGCACCACTGTCAAGAGGTTAAAACAGAGCAGAGTTAAATTAATCCTCAAAGACCCTGGTTAGTGAAAATGTTCCTGCTTAAACCAGTGTCTATGGCAAAAACATCTGTAATGTGGGTTTTACTATGTATAATTTATCTTACTTATGTAAAACTTACAGGAGTTTTTAAATACCTGATATGCAGGCAAATACACACTGTCATGTATTTGAAAAGAGTTTATTTATTTGTTTAGAGAGTGGGTTTCCCCCTCTGGCATCCAGGGGGAGGTGGTGCTGCCTGGCAGATGCTGTGTGGAGCACCAACGTTACTTCCTGCGGCTCCCCGGTGGAAGCTGCTGCTGCTCCGCGTTGAGAAGAAGCGGCGGACGTGATTATCCGCTTCACCCCGTTAGCTCATCGGCTAATGGTCTGCATCCGCGAGCGAGGATAGCAATGGGAAGCCGCTGGAGCTAGTGAAAGTTAGTCACGGCGTACGTCGGGACTTTAATGTCCGCAAACATCCCAAAAGGAGGTTCGCGTATCATGCCGTGGCCTCGAGGGGGATCTTTATTGTAGAATTCCTACTTGGAAAAGGCTAGCTCAGGTGCTAGCGACGCTACAAACGATTTCTAATTGGCTTTCCGCTCAATGGCTCTCGCTTGTTTTTCCCTGTCATAGCGACAGCTTGGGAAAACTGGGAGAGGCCCTGGGAACTTCATGACAAACCAAAGCCTGGCGCTGAAGCACAACTTCGGAAAACTTGACTGGCGAGGGACCGAAAATGAAGAAACAGTTCAATCGGATGAAGCAGCTCGCCAATCAAACTGTTGGCAGGCAAGTACTGAACACACTTTCTGTGTTTCTCCCAGAAAGCCGTAGAAGGAATTTCATTTCCGACACACATTTACTTCAGTCACATTTTAGTAGTTGTATGTGTAAAGAAAGGAAAATTGGAAAGTTCAAGGGAAAGTGTGTGTGTGTGTGTGTGTGTGTGTGTGTGTGTGTGTGAGAGAGAGAGAGACTGAGGGCATAACATTCTTTTCATAGAAGGTTCCTATATTTTTGTAAACATGAGTGTTGTACACCCTCTGAGTCCAGATTGAAACATGACTGCATCCAAAGCAGAACCCTCCTCTCAGGTAGACTCATCAGTGTCAAAGCTGATGTTGGGGAGGATGCTGTTTCAGGAAGTGAGAACATTGCATGTTTTGTTCCATCGCTGTTATGCAATGGCCCTCAGCACTCTTGTGTCACTGGATATGTAGAGTAAATTTCAGCCCAGTATTCTGAGAACAGGAGGGACACACACACACACACACACACACACACACACACACACACACACACACACACACACACACACACACACACACACACACACACACACACACACACACACACACACACACACACACACACACACACACATACACACACACATACATACACACATACATACACACATACATACACACACACACACATTTTTCATCATGCTGCGTGAAGCTGTGATTGTGTGTTTATGTGCATGTTGGTGTCCAGAAAGACAAAAACAGCATTTGGCACCTCAGGCACACAGCTGGTGCGTAGCAGTAGAAGGCACTGGATAAAAAGCCCTTGACAGACTGGGAACAAATTCATTTTAATCTCCAGGCAGATGGTTAAAAACAGTTGTATGTGAAATGCACAACAAGTAGTTATTCATAATTCTACAAAGCAATGCACCAGTTCTGGTTTAGTGGACCAATACAGATTTGTGATTTTTTTTAAATGTCTCAAATAATCACAATGACTATGAAATTATTATTGTTTCTGATTAAGTTGGTTAACTAAAATTCTGATTCTGGGAGTAAAATTTTCATATGGAAGTACGCTTTAGTAGGTTCACTGACTGACTTTTATTGCTGCTCAGCAATGTTGTGTTTACTGAACAAAAATACAAAAATATTTTGATGTGAAATGATTTAAAATGTTGATCGTGCTAGATATTATTGACTGATTCCAAATCACCAGCTGAATTGTAGTGCATGTCTAATTCTGTAACTTGGTCTTCAGCATCAAAAACTTGTCAGTCGGAGGGAAACGGCTGTCTGCTGCCTTTCATGCCAGAGTTATGTTGAAAAATGATGAAGTTATAGCTGTTTTAGTTCATTTCTAGTCATTAACATTATCTATGATCTCGGGCTGGACGATACAGAAAAAGCCTATCAATGAAAGAATTCTGATTGGTCGATATCAATAATTATTAACCCGTTCGCTGCCAGCCGTTTCCTGATCAGAAAAGCCCTTCGCTGCCAGCATTTTTCTGCGTTTTCACTGTTTTTTTTTACTGTCACAGAACGTTGCGCTCTGTGGTGATATAAATGCTAAAACTACCAAAACAAAGCGGAGACTCACCTCTTACATCAGGAAGAATCCGTGTGTTTCGAGCGTTATCCGTTCTTTCATAATCTGTTGTTGAATTGTGATCGGCAGAAGCGTTTCCGGTTCGCGCCTCACTTTTTTTACAGCAGCGGCCCAAAACGATCTCCTAACTCATGGATTTTCTGCTTCCTGATCAGGTGACGTGTGACGTATGAGGATGAAGATTGGCTTTAGAGCTGAGATGTTTGTTCTCACGGTGCGGGGGCTCGTTCCAACGCCCACACAGTAAAAAAATGCAAATGACAACTTTAGTCGTCATTGGCAGTGAATGGTTGGATTTAAAATGACGGCTTTTGTCGTCAATGGCAGCTAACGACATATAAAAAATGTAAAATATAAACAAACATTTAAGTGCAGCCCTGACCATTTTATGTCATAGCATTATGATTAAACAATTTGGTTTTGTCACCAGATGTGGTTTTTATTGATTCCCTGCAAATTTGGCAAACAACCTTTTGTTTGTGAGATTTGAAAAATCAAACTATTGCTATGCTTGTGAACGTCAGGACTATTTCCCCTGCCTCTCCTTGCTGCGATGTCTTATGTAAGTCACACGCTCTCTGTTTAGGTTTGAGAGGGGAGGGTTTGGTGACGGAGCATGTCTGGGTCTGTGTTTTTGATTGGCAATTACTCAATCTTAAGCTACCCGATAAGCAACAATGAGAAAAGAATGGACATTTGTACCTGAAGTTTTTATTGACCCATTTTTTAATCTATCACACCACACGTCTATCGATAAATGTATATCATTATTGAATTATTGCCCAGCCTAATTATGATCTCAGTTGTTTGCATTAGATGTAATGTAATCTTTTACTACTCTGAGTACACATCACCTCAATATGTGTAGTTTAGGCTAGAGGTATAATAATTTTTGACTTCGTTATGGATGATTATCTATGCCGGCTACTTTAAATCTGAACATCTTTAAGTTCATTCTGTGCTGGTTATCCAATTCCATTATTTCTTTTCTGAACACGGAGAACTATTACTGTGTTCAGAAAAGAACCAAATAATGGATTCACTTTAAATCTTTTTAACTGCAGAAGTTAATCAGTTGTAGATAGTGAAGCAGCGATATTAAAACGTTTGGCCGATACAATGTCCGATATTTGTATCACTGTTGCGGCCGATAACCGATATTTCCTGATACTTAAATACTAACATTAATGCTTCTGAAATCAGCAGGTTTTGTATGGAATGTAAATGATTAAAGCTTAGTTTATGTTATTATGTACACACGCCACACACATTTATGCCTCTGAGATGATTACAATCACTGTCACATTACTAAACAAATGCATACCCCCCCACCCTCTGAAACAGATAAACAAATAGAAACAAGATGGAAACAATATCAGTTTTATTAATCAGACTGATACCGATATGTTAAAAAATGACTAACATCGTCCGATACTGATGCCGATATATTGTGCATCCCTAGTTGTAGATGTGCATTGATTAGGGTTGGGAATCGAAAACCGCTTGTTGAGAACCAGTTCCTATTGTTTCAATTCCTAAGAATCGTTTGCCACTCAATTATCAAAATCTACAGAAATGATCTGTTCCAGAAGCCAAGCCGAAGACCAGCAAAAGCTGAACATTTGGAATACTTTTTCTTACAGCATCAGCAGTAAATTAGAACAGAAGGGTGTAATTTGGAAAGCAGACGCGTGTCTTGGTGTTCGCTCAGTTGCATTCACAAGTGGGGTTAATCCATCCTGCTCCTACTGAGAGGCCCTTATGAATGAGCGATCCTTTAGCGGTCAGATTGAGGGCATGTTCTGCTTTGCCCATCAGGGTTGTGTTTGCTCCCATACTTGTGTCTTTGCATCTGCATGTGGTGTGCCGTGCGCTGCCTCCTGGGTTCCTGTGATTGTGCGAAGGCAGAACACTTTGTCCAAGCAAGCTGCAGCTCTGAGGAAATCTCTCCTTTTTCTTCTGCAAACAGGAAGCTGTCTCTCGGAGACATGTTTTCTAAAGAACAGGAGAGAGAGAAAGAGAGCTGGGAAAACTGTGTGTGGACAAAAGAAAAAAACAAAAACCCAGTCTGTGATTCATGTCAGGAAATGGTGAGGATTTTTACGACTGTGCTGGAGGTTACCTTGATTTACCACCTTTAAACTCAGCATCTGTCATGTGAGCAGCAAGAGCAGCAACACTGCTGATTGCATTGATTTTGAATGTCTTCAAAGTCACCTTAGTTTGGTCTTCATGCTGTTCAGGCAGTAATGTGTTTATTGACTCATGCATGGTGGTTTGCTCAAGCATTGTTCACTCATTGTTTTTGCTATGTGTTAAATAAGCTAGGATTTGTTTCAGCTTAGACCTGAAATATGCTGATGACATACAGGTGTGACTAGATTATTATCTTCTATACATTTTCAGTTCATTAAACATTAAGCTACACACAAAAAAAGTAAATGGTTTGCTTCTTTTATCCCCCCCCCCTGTTCTGTCTGGCTATGAAGCAAAAATAATTGTCTGAATGCTGGTGACAAGCCTTACAGATTTACTCTCAGGTGGAGCATCAAAGCATTGGCTTTAATTTCACGCCTGAGAATGATGAACAAGAGTCTGCTTCTAGACCTGCAGAAGGAGAAAAACAAACAAAAACAAAAAAAAAAAGAAGGGGACACACAACAATACAACAGGAGAAAACCATCACTGCGTCAACCTGATGAGGAAATATAAAATCAACATTGTTTTACTGAACAATCACACGATAACAAATCACAGTGCATTTAGTGCCAGCCACAGCCTTAAGATATGTGTTGAACGTGCTCAAGTCCATACTTATGAGAGCACCATGTGAGCACCTGTGTGCGTACCCACGTTAGTATATGTAAGGTTTCTCTATAGGAGCATCCAATAGTGTGAGGGGCCACAGATCTGCCCCCCAAAGATGTGTAGGAGATGGAGGGAGCTCCAAGTCCTAGAGATCCAGGAACTGCCCCAGAGCGCAGGGACCCCAGGCAGACTGTAACCAGAAAAGCCCCAGCCCCCTCTCGAGAGGAGCAGAGGATTGCCCCGGGGGGTCACAACCAGCAGCCGGCAGAGTCCCGGGAGATATCAGTGGCAAGCCCACAGTGGGAGGGGACCCAACAGAGGCCAGGGACTCGGATCCCACCAGGCAGCCACTGGGATCGATTAGGCAGACTATAAAAATCTTGAAACCCCTGACCCGGGAGCCGCAAACACTCAGGTAGACCAAGGCACCACACTCCAAACCAAATGTGGCAGGGGTAGGGTAGGCGAAGATGTATAGCAGCACAAGAAGTCCCAGGAGAGGGGAGGAGTCCAAAACCCCAACTGACATATACAGCCATATACAGACGCAGTCACACACTCCCTCATGCTCACACATACACATACAACCTAAGACTTACAAAAATGAATGCTACTAGACT